TTCTAAATATTGAATCATATTATCAGTGAAGAGGGATAATTTTGACTTCTTATTTTCCTATTTGGATGCCTGTTATTTCTTTCTGTTACCTGATTTCTCTGGCTAGGACTTCCAGGACTACACTGAATAGAAGTGGTGAGAGTGGGCATCCTTGTCTTATTCTATTTCTTAAGAGAAATGCTTCCATCTTTTGTCTGTTTAATAATAATGTTGACTTTGGGTTTATCATAGATGGTTCTTACTATTTTGAGGTACGTTATTTGATGCCTAGTTTGTTGAGAATTTTAACATGAAGGGATGTGGAATTTTATTGAAAGTCTTTTCTGAGTCTATTGAGATGATGATGTGGCTTTTGTTTTTAGTTCTGTTCGTGTGATGAATCATATTTATTGATTTACATGTGTTGAGCCAACTTTGCATGCCAGGGATAAAGCCTGTTGGATCATGGTGGATTAACTTTTTGATACACTGCTGGATTTGGTTTGCTAGTATTTTGTTGAGGACTTTTGTGTCTATGTTCTTCAGGCATATAGGTCTGAAGTTTTCTTTTTTCATTATCTCTCTGACAGTTTTTGGTATCAGAATATTGTTAGCCTTATAGAGTGAGTTATGGAGGTGTCCCTTCTCCTCAATTTTTTGGAATAGTTTCGGTAGGATTGGTACCAGGCCTTCTCTATGTGTCTGGTAGAATTCAGCCACGAATCTGTCCTGTTAGGGCATTTTCTGGATTTTTTTAAATTACTGATCAAGTTTCAGAACTTGTAATTGGTCTGTTCAGGATAAATATTTCTTTGTTATTCAATAATCAGAAGTGTATGGTTTTAGGAATTTACCCATTTTTTTCTAGATTTTTTAGTTTGTGTGCATAAAGGTATTCATAATAGTGTTTGAGAGTTCTTGTATTTCTGTGGGATCTGTAATGTCCCCTTTGCCATTTCTGATTATGCTTATTTGGATCTTCTCTTTTTTCTTTATTGATATAGTTAGTGGTTTATCAAATTTATTTTTTGAAAGAATCAAATTTTGATTTTGCTGATCTTTTTTACAGATTTCATATCTCAGTTTCCTTCAGTTCAGCTCTGATTTTGGTTTTCTTTTCTTCTGCTAGCTTTGGGGTTGGTTTACTCATGGTTTCCTAGTTGCTCTAGGTGTGATGTTAGCTTGTTAATTTGAGATCTTTCTAACTTCTTCATGTAGGCATTTAACACCATAAACTTTTCTCTGAAAACTGCTTTAGCTGTGTCCCAGAGATTCTGGGATGTTGAATCTTTGTTTTTATTGATTTCAAAGAATTTTAAAATTTCTCCCTTAATTTCACTCTTTGCCTGAAAGTCATTTAGGAGCAAGTTTGTTTAATTTCCCTGTAATTGTATGGTTTTGAGAACTCTTCTTGGTATTGATTTCTGTGTCTATTGTACTGTGTTCTGAGAATGTGATTGGTATGATTTTGTTGTTTTTAAGTTTGTTGAGAATTGCTTCACAGCCAAGCATGTGGTCGATCTTAGAATATGTGCCATACGCAGATGAGAAGAATGTATATTTTGTTGTTGGGTATTCTGTTGATGTCTGTTAAGTCCATTTGGTTAAATGTTGAGGTTAGGTCTCGAATATCTTTGTTAGTTTTCTGCTTCAGTGATCTGTCCAATACTATCAGTGGAGTGTTGAAGTCTCCCATTATTATTGTGTGGTTATCTAAGCTTCTTCATAGGTCTCTAAGAACTTGTTTTATGAATCTGGGATCTCCAATTTGGGAGTGTATGTTAGGAGAGTTAAGTCTTCTTGTTGACTGGAAACTTTTATCTTTAAACAATGCCGTTCTTTGTCCTTTTCGATCATTGCTGATTTAAAGTCTGTATTGTCTGAAATACGAATTGCAACCCCTCTTACTTTTTTGTTGTTGTTGTTTTCTGTTTGCTTGAAAGATCTTTCTCTATTCCTTTCCTTTCAGCATATATATATGTAATTTATGTGAGATGAGTTTCTTGAATATAGCATATAGTTGGGTTTTGCTTCTTTATCCAACTTGCCACTCTGTACCTTTTACGTTGGACACTTAACCCATTTATCTTCAAGGTCAATATTGATATGTGAGGATTTGATCTTGTCATTTTGTTAGCTAGTTTTTGTATAGACTTGATTATATAATTGTTTATAGTGCCAATGTGATATGTACTTAAGTGTGTTTTTGTGGTGGCAGGTCTTACATTTCCATGTTTAGTGTTCCCTTTAAGACCTCTTATAAACATATTTGATAGTAATGGATTCCCTTAGAATTTTCTTGTTTGAAAAGGATTTTATTTCCCCTTCACTTAGGAAGCTTAGTTTGGTTGGATTTGAAATTCTTGTTTTTTTTTTCTCAAATTTCTTTTCTTTCAAGTTGCTGAATATAGGCCCCCAATCTCTTTTGATTTGTAAACTTTCTGCTGAGAGGTTCACTGTTGGCCTGATGGGATTCCCTTTGTACTTAACCTGGCCCTTCTCTGTAACTGCCTTTAACATTTCTTTCCTTTGTGTTGAACTTGGAGAATTTGATGACTAGATGTCTTATCTTTCCCAGTATATTTTAAAGAGTCTCTGAAATTCCTGAATATGCATGCCTACCTGTGTAGTGAGGTTGGGGAAATTCGTGTGGACAATACCTCAAATATATTTTCCAAGTTGCTTGTTCTCTATCTCTTTCAGAAATGCCAGTGAGTCATAGGTTTGATCTCATCACATAATCCTATATTTCCTGGAGGTTTGTTTTTTCATTTTAAAAAATTCTTAATTTTTTTTCTGGCTGCATTGATTCAAAGGAGCAGTCTTTGAGTTTTCAGATTCTTTCCCAGCTTGGTCTATTTTGTTATTAATGCTTCCAATTGCATTATAAAAGTCTTATAGCAAATTTTTAATTTTCAGAAGTTCAATTTTTTTTTATTTTTTCATAAAATGACTATGCCATTTTCCAGCTCTTGGATCATTTTATTAGTTTCCTTGGTTGGGTTTCAGTCTTCTTCTGTATCTCACTGGGCTTTCTTGCCATCCAGATTCTGATTCTGTATCTGTCATTTCAGACATTTCAATCTGGTTAAGAACCATTTCTGGGAAGTTATTGAGGTAGTATGTGGAGGTAAGAAGACACTCTGGCTTTTAGAGTTGCCAGAATTCTTGTGCTGGTTCTTTCTCATCTGTGTTCGCTGATTTTGCTTTACTTTTTGAAATTGCTGTCCTTTGGATGAAGCTATTTGCTTTCATATTCTTTGATGTTTTGAGGGTTTGAAGGCAGTATAAGTTGTATTTAGTTGATTGACTTCATTTCTGGATGCTTTCAGGAGGCCAAGGCTCAGCTTAGCACTCCTGAGCTTCATGCCAGTGCCTGGGGAACTGGGACTGGGCATGTGGCTTTGTTCTTTGACCTCTCGAGGTCAAGCATTTTCTGCACTGGAAGGGCTGAGATGTTCCCAGACTGCTGGCAAAACACTCTGATGGGGGCTGTTGGCAAAAGTGCTCCAGTGGTGGGGGCAGGGTACCACAGGAGGATGCCTTGAAGGAGGAGGTCACCAGAGAGTGCACACTAGTGGGGTGATGGTGTGAGATGCACACAAGTGAGAACCAACAGGACAGCGGGGAACCACTGGTGTGTGTGCAGCGGTGGAACATTATTGTCAATCTTACTTCATCTGTATCTGTATCCAATTCCCAACGCCCAAATTATTTTGATGAAAATATCAAAATCATATCATTTCACCTGGAAATATTTGTGCATACCTTTAAAAGACAAGCAGTCTTTAAATATATATCCATGATCATAGTAACATACTACACATTAAAAATAATTCTTTGATGAGGAAAAAATGGAACCACATTTTCAAAGTTACTATTGTTTTAAACCTTTGAAAATCTAACAGCATAATTGAAACATTTGACATCAGATGACATCAAGCTGGAACATTTTCAGTTTTGCCTCTTAATATAGAGACTTTGATGTGTACCTGAAGTGGCTGAAGCCATTGACACTTGGTCAAAGATTTTTCCATCATGATGGTGTGAATATCCAGATAGCCCAATACCAGTAAAGGTCATTTCAACTTAAGCCTTAGGCTCCATTCTATTCACGAGAAGAATTAACTGTATTGGGGCAGGTGGATCACCTGAGGTCAGGAATTCGAGACCAGCCTGGCCAACATGGTGAAACCCCGTCTTTACCAAAAATAGAAAAAAAATTAGCCAGACTTGATGGTGGGTGCCTGTAATCCCAGCTACTCCAGATGCTGAGACAGGAGAAACGCTTGAACCCGGGAGGTGGAGGTTGCAGTAAGGTGAGGTCACACCATTGCACTCCAGCCTGGGCAACAAGAGTGAAACTCCGTCTCAAAAAAAAAAAAAAAAAGAATTAACTGTAAAAGATTTCATGAGTAATGCATCACAGGAAAGGAATCTTGGCTAAGAAGTTGATTTGTTACAAGTAGCTTCAAGCAACAGTTTGTATCTTTACAGGCTGTTAGGAGACTCTCAGTTGGCGTCTCATTGTGGTCAGGTGCCAGTTTGGCTGGAGTCATCTGGAAGCTCGGTGTGCCTGGGTGTCCAAGATGGACTTTTCTCTTATATGTCCCATATCTCCTCTCGAATGGCTGAAATAGCTGGGGATCAGCTGATGTCTCCCTGTCACCACCCAGCCTAGATTGGTTTGGGTTTTCTCACAGCTTGATGGTCTTGGGGTAGATTTCTGACCTGACAGCAGTGTTCCTCAACAGTGAGTGTTCCATGGATGTCAGGGAAACTTAAGTTGTTTTGACCTGGCCTCAGAAGTCACATAATACCTTTTCTACCTTTTTCTGTTGGCCGAAAGCTAGTTATAGGCAATCCAAGATTCAAAGAGAGGGGCATAAATATTGGGTGGCAAGGTTCATTGGGGGACTTCTTTGCACCTACCACAGTATTTTATGAATCTGATTATTTTACACATCCTTACTATTTCCTCCCATGCCATAGAAATTTTTATATTTGATATTTTTTGACAGGTTATCAAGGATCCTCCACCACCACCGCCCCCTGCACCAAAAGAGGTGAGTGCCTAAAAAAACTGATATGGCTGGTTTTTTTTCCCATATGCAGATACCTTATCCAAATTCGATTAATTTTGTCTGTTAGATAACTGTGATACCTATGTACTGACTTTTTAATTTATAAAAATCAGTGGTTATTTTTCATCCTCTTATGATTTATTTCATATGCTAGAGGAATGGGACCTTCATACATTGCTAGATATAAACTGACCATTGGAATCAATAGTATATAAAGATTTAATATACTTTTTATACTGCTATATCAATAATTCTGATGTCACTTAGGTTATTTACAAAAAAGATCCAAGCTGACAGTTGAAAGATCCTATTACTTTCTTCAAAATTCTTGGTGCTTTTATATAATTCTGTTAGCCAGAATCATGTTAGGAACATGAAATAAGGAATGTGCAGGTATTGAATATTTTCAAAGCTTCTCAACTGCCTATCTTTTCAGTTCAAATTTCATAGAGTCCAAACCTACACATACATTGATGCTTTAATGACTGTTAAAATGCTGTCCTAATTTTAATATTTTATCTTTCTAAATATGAAGTGATGAAAGATTTGAAATACCAAATGATTCCCATAGTTAAAGAGCAACTTCTAGTTACCTAGGGATGATGTAAGAGAGATTCCTAACATTTGAGGAGGGAAAGGAGTTCTCATATCCTGTGGAACTCCACTTGAAATTTATGCATGTAAGTGTAAATACATCCACATGTATAGTTTTTTTCCCATAGTAATGGAGTAATTCAGAAAAATATTTAAATATGAGCCAGTTCTGACTAAACAGTATTTTAAGAAATTAATTAAAAACTATTTATAAAACATATTTCCACAGGAGGAAGAAGAACCTTTGCCTACTAAGAAGTGGCCAACTGTGGATGCCTCCTATTATGGTGGTCGAGGGGTTGGAGGAATTAAAAGAATGGAGGTTGGTATCTTAAAAAAAATAGAAGCTGCTAATCTGGAGTATGTATTCCTAGGACTATTAAGCCATGATAACTCTCCTTTTCACAATTCAATATTATAATATCATCCGTGTGTGCTTAACACTGGGTCTTTTCTGGATACATTTTTTTTCTATGGAATCATCCTAGCCACTGCAAAGCTGGCCTAGAAGAACTGGTTTCCTTAGTCAAAGGATTGCATTGATAAGACCTCTGAATTCTAAGGGACAAAACAAAACTAGGGTTTTTCTTATTTTGGAAAAAATTACTGCATAGAACGTCAACTTTGAAGAAGCCAGCCACTTCAAGTTGCAACAATGTTCTTCTTTGTAAAGATCCGATAGTAATCTACTATTTGAGAAGAAAATGTTAAAATATTCAATAGCATGGATCTGACCTTATCACAAATATAGAGAAAGCACATTTAATACTTTGTTAGTTGCCACTTATGAACTATTGTAATTGATATTATATATCATTTATAGAATGCATTGAACTTTCGGACTAGCCCAAAGTGTTGATTAACATTGAACTTTAATATTATATCTTAAAAATCAAATAAGGTTTTCTTATCACCATGAACTATTTTTTCAAAGTGATATATTATTTAGTAATAAGCAATTATTACCAGCACTGAGCTCTTAACAACAGTGTAAACAGGCCTACATCCCATCCCAAGGAGCAATTCAAGGAATTTTTTTCATGAACACATTGACTTTATTATTAAATCCTGGCATTCCTTCCTTATTAGTTATAATTTTCCTTCCCAATTAGAATGTGTTTTATGCATTTTACCATTGTTGCACATGTTTCCTATTGTCATATCTGCTTTGTGCCAGCAAAAATTGATAACCTAATGAACAACCCCACAAGTATTGCAGTTTTCTTCTTTTATACGTTAAAATAAAATTCAGATTCCCGAGGAGAGTTTCCCTTTTCAGAATAAATTTTGCTCTTCTTCAGAAAAAAGCCCAGACATACTGAACATGATTGTCATTCCCAAAGTGTTTATATAGGTCATCTGACAGTGATTCTTACTTTTCTGGACCACATTAGATCTTGAAACAATGGACATTTTCCCTGAGAGCTTGCCCTTTATTGTTGAAATATCCTCTGAGACGGATACCTCATTGCCAATTATCCATGGTTAAAGGCAATTGCTAGATGCAGTTAAGTTGGTCTTTGGAGAAGTTATTGCATGTGTTTTTGTGTGCTAGAAACTGAGAATCGCAAACAATATAAGAGAACATGGCTAGGCAAGTTCTTGTTGCTTGACACGGAAGGTTATTTTCCTTTCTTACCTTTGTTGTGTCATTGTAGACATGGAAGGGTGGGAAGAAAGTATATAGGATGTTCCCATATGTATAAAACATACACTTTTAAATAAAGCTGTTACAATCAAATATCCAAATATGATCTGTAACAACTTATTTTTAGTTGATTTCACCTCATTCCAAAATGTGTGTGTAAAAAGATCTGTATAACAGGGGAAAAAAAGACTTGATAGGATATACCAAAAATGTGAGTAGGTTTCTCTGGATGGAAAATTTTCAATCTATGCTATTTATTTACTTATTTTTTAAATGTATTTGAGCATGTAGTAGTTCATATTCAGAATAATAAGCTTAATACCATTTTGAAATTCACTTATATAAAATACTGCATGATAATAAAGTAAGGATATTAGTATGTGAGCCGTAATTGAATAAATAATATTCTTACTTAAAAAAACTAGGAATATGTCAAATTTTTGTTAGTTCAATATTCCAGTGTTCCAAAGATTGAGGTCTCTTTCTAAAGGAAAGGAAATGTGTGAGTGAGATCCTGAATGGGTCCTGAGTTAAAAGGGACATTATTGGTTTATATTTATGAGAGCCAAGCGCACACACACATCCCTAACTAAGCGATAGTTCAAGTTTCAAGAGTTATTAACTCTTAATATGTGAAATTATGTTGCCCACCCATCCTTTTCAGTTGAACAAAATTTGAGACCAAAAACCTCAGCCTACTTGTAATAAATCTGGGTCCATTTTAGTTTTGGATAATTTTGACTACCTTGCATGAAGTATTCCATCAATAAGATGGAAATAAGAATGAGAATGAAGAAAAAAAATGGAAAAGCAAGTGTGGATGTTACAAAGGGGAAACACAATACAGGTTGAGTATCCCTTACCTGAAATGATTGGAGCTAAAAGTGTTTTAGATTTTGTATTTTTTTCAGAGTTCAGGATATTTGCACATACTTAATGTGATATTTTGGGGAGGGGACCCAAGTTTAAACATGCAAGTTATTTTTGTTTGATATATACCTTTTACACATAAGAGGAATATGTTTGACATACTCCTTATATACACATAAGAAGAATATGTGTATAAGGTGTATGTCAAACATAAATGAATTTAAAATATGCAATAAATACACAAACATAATGCACAAGCATAAATGCATGTTATGCTTATATATTTTGTAAACAAAATATACAAACATAAATGAATTTTAAAATAGAACAATATTTTAAAACAATTTTGTGCATGAAACAAAGTGTTGACTGTGCCCCAACAGATGAGGTCAGGTGTGGAGTTTTCCTCTTATGCTGCTAAGTGGCACTCCGAGGGTTTCAGGTTTTAGAGCATTTTGAATTTTAGATTTTTGAACTATACGCAACCTGTATATAGAAATACATAATAACAATTGAACTGAGAATTAAGCATCATCAAACATTTTCAAACATGAATTTATTTAAATGTGGAGAGGGAAAATAGAAAATCACAATGTTTCATTTATCTGCTTATTTGTTAAGAAATCTGGAGTGGATGATGGGGAGTTCGCATTATGTTGCCCTGACTGGTCTTGAACCCCTGAGCTTAAGCGATTCTCTCGATTCTCTCATGTAGCTGGGGCTACAGGCAGGTGCCGCCATGCAAACAAAATTTGTTTTAAAAGTATGCTTATTCAAACCTGGAAGGTATTTCTCTTTTTTTTTTTTTTGTTTTTTTTGTTTCTTTGTTTTTTTTTTTTAAAAAAAGCTCTTAAACTAGGAAAAGTAAAAGAATTATAGAAATTATGAGCACATGTGAATTACAGAACACATTTTTATAGCTAAGGTTATTTTAAGCTAGTATAGGGATTTTTACCTAGAATATTTTTTCTTCCTTCTTCTTTAAATTAAATATTTAAACACTATGGTAATGGGAATTTTAGAAAGCTGGAACTGAGATGATGTTAATAACAGCTGTTAGCACAACTGATCCACAATACCTAATGACTTCAAATGTGTGTTTCTGCCAATTCAGTATGAAACTGTTTTTGTTTCTTTTCTCGATTCTGAAATTGCTCCTCAATGATATAACCTCCTAGTCATCCAAATATGCTCTGGAAATTATGGAATTTTATTGCTTATAATGAAAGCCAAGTGGAGTTGGAAGAATTTAGCTATCAAGCTTACACTTATTTTTTTTTTCCATAATAAAGCCCGATATATTAATTCTGCCAAGGCTTCCTTTAGCAGTCTATTCTTGTTATTCTTTTGTCCTTTTTCACTGTCTCAATGTGGTCAAACTAAAATATTAAAATTTATGCATACATACACATACACATATATATGTTTAATTGCTTTTAAGAGTTTGAAAACTCAAATAATTTCTAGTTTCAGACTTCGAGTAAGTGAGAGTTGTTTGTGGTGGTGTTTGTGGTGGTGATGATGTTAATGATGATTAAATAGCTCCCTCATGAACTAAAACTAATGAATTTATTTAATGAATCTTCTTTAGACCTCAGCAACTACATTTCTCAAGTACAGTCATTTGATAGTCTAGTACCTAGAAATGCCACGTTGGGTCAGAACTCTAGCTTAACTAGCTTCATTTTTTTTTTTTTAATCTGAGAATAGTGCTAGTGAAACTTGAAAGAAGAATATGATTATCATGACCTTTGCAATATCAACTGTGAAACATAGGCGAGGGAGCTGTCTATGGTAAAGCCTATCATTTCTGAATGGATCTAAATTGTATCTACTTCTTTTTCTGCCCTGAATGACTTCTCTAAGTTAGGACATTTGTGTCTTTACTTAATTGTGTATCTTTTTTTTTCCTTAAAATGGAGCCTGTACAACTATAAGGGTATGTGTCCTGATTTTAGAGTTTTTAGTACAATTTAGCTGTATCTGAATATTTTATAAGTGTTAGTTTATCTAGGTGATGACACTGTGATTGGAAAGAGAAGGTCATTTCTCTGGAAAGAAAGCCAACTATCTAGCTCTAAAGGTTTAATGGTGTTTAAAACAATTTTAACAACCTCATAAAAAACATTCTAGTATCATTGATCACACTGAAAGATATAGATACATTTTAATGACTCAACAGGGCCCAGTTGAAATTGAAAGCCCATTCTAAAATTGTAGTAAAAAAAGGTAAAAACACCTAAGTAAGCCTTATCAAAAAGACTGAATAGTTCTTTCCATGGGTAGTAATCTTCTCTATCCCTACCCACTAATTCAGATCATTAAAATGCTTTAGGAAGTCTTAGGATTTTTTTTTTTCTTTTTAGAAATCACTTAACTCTGGTGTGTCATAGTGTGCCCTGGTTACGTCTTAGTATAGGTTTTTAGAGCTTCACTTCTCTGACCTTGCCCATCTTTGGTGATGTCCTTGGTTTTTGTAGGACTTTCCACTACTCCTGGTTGGACAAGCTCTTCTACAGGGGCTGCATCCTATTTACATGCCCCGTTTGATTCAAATTTAGCTCTTAATTTCTGCCTATTGAAAAATAAAGCAATCATTTGATCGTATGGTTTTTCAATGTCAAGATTTTTCAGAGGAGGAAATTTGCTGTAATTTGTGGAATTCTCTACTGTTCCTGAACTTTTCGTTTCAAAGCAGTCTTTTCAGATTTGTCCTCCTCAATGAAAAAATCATATGCCACACAAGCATACTCGGATGAACTTGGGAACTAAAGGCTGAACACTACGTTACAAAGCAGAACTAAAAAGTAAAGAAAACTCATATATAATTATTTTACTTTCAAAAACTAAATGTTCAGATCATACTTTTTGCCTTAAACAAATGTGATGAAAAGTTTGGCAGAAGCAACTCTTTTGTATAAAATACATTTGTAAAATTCAAACCCATTTGAAACTTATTAACCCATTTCTATCCATGTTCAGATCCATGCCCCGTCACTTACTAGCTGTTTGGCTCTGGGCACATCACTTAACCTCCTTGTGCCTCATCTGGAAAGAATAAAATGTAGTCTCTATCTCACTGCATTTTTGTATGGATTAAATGCAGACTGACACATAGTAATCACTCAGTAAATGCTAACTATCATCATTTTCATATATTTCTTCCAGTGTCATCACTACATATGGGTATGTGTTTAGCTAGCAGGGGAGCAAACCAAATTAGAGAACAGGATTACACACTGTCATGCATTTCATATGTAAACCACAAATGGACTCTTTATTTAAAACTATGGAAAAATGGTTGCTTCAAATTTAGTTGGCTTCAGATTTTTGCAAAGGGTCTTTTTGTTTTTTTGGATCTTAGTATTAAATACAGTAAGGAGTGGTGAGAAACCTATTCAGCCTCAGAAGAGGAGAAATTAGGAATTAGGATACCTGCTCATCTTCTTTTTTTACTCTGAGATGTGAACTAAAGGACCATAGACTCAATAAGAGCCTGTTCCTCTAGGACACTTTATGTCTTATAACAGTGCTCTCTCTTTGTTTTACAGGTTCGTTGGGGTGATAAAGGATCTACTGAGGAAGGTGCAAGGCTAGAGAAAGCCAAAAATGCTGTGGTGAAGATTCCTGAAGAAACAGAGGAACCCATTAGGCCTAGACCACCGCGACCCAAACCCACACACCAGCCTCCACAGACAAAATGGTACACGCCAATTAAGGTACGTGTCCAAATTTTGTGTAATTTAACTCAGAACTTCTGGAGACATTGTAACATTTTTAGTACCATGTCTCGCTAACTACCTTAAAGAGGGTAGATCAAATTGCAGACGTTCATTGTACACTCTTAGCAGCTGAATACTTTCTTGGCAATAAGAACCTCCAGGTTTTTATTACTTACTAGTTTACCTTATGAAAGAAATGAGGGTAAAGAAGATTTTATTTTCTTCGTTTTACGTCTTCATTTATTCAGTACATAGAGATTGAGTACATTCTCTGGGAATTCACAAGTCTCATTTTCCCTCAGGGTCGTCTTGATGCTCTCTGGGCTTTGTTGAGGCGGCAGTATGACCGGGTTTCTTTGATGCGACCTCAGGAAGGAGATGAGGTTTGTATATGGGAATGTATTGAGAAAGAGCTAACTGCTTGGGTCAGTATAATGAAGGCAGGGAAATAGTAGTAAAAAATGATTTTAAAGCCCTATTGAACTTGAGGAAGGAAATACTGTCAAGTGTAGATTTCTATTACATAGAATTTTCTATAAAGTACCTGTTGTTAGAATGCATCTTCAAACTACATTTTTACACCATTCCTTTTTCAAGTGATTCTTTACAATTCTGGTCATTTGTACACATACTTTAATAAGCACAATCATTGCATCAGCCCTTGACTTTGAAGACACAATGTTCCAACAGACTGGAATTTAGTAGCTGAAGTCCTTCTCTAGCATTTAGTAGCATTTAGTAGCAATAAGGCCTAGGGCAAAGGCCTCAGAATCTGTTTTATAGGTATAAGTATGTTCCCTGCCTTCAACAGTTAATGTTATCGAATTTCTTGACTATTATGTAAAAGTGTCTTTAAAGTTATAAAGCATTATAAAAATCTGTGATGGTGATAAACATACACACACATACACACATATGTATATGTATATATTTTTCCCCATCAGGGAAGTCTGTCTGAAGCTATATTTTTGTTTGGAAATGTGGCTACAATTTCTCTAGTTCTGTAATTTCTGTAATATACTAGTACTATTTTCCACTGTATTGATGTAAGAAAAATTGATTAAAACCTTTTCATATATAACAATGGTTAGATTTGGTTCAGAGACAGTACAGTTCATAACAGTAGTGATGCAGGGCAGGTGAGCCCCAAAATTGAAGCTCAGCCTGAGAGAGTTCTTAACTTCACCTAAGAAGGAATCTGATGCAGGGCAGGAGGGTTCCCAAATTGGAGCTTAGCCCCGGAAGTTTCCTGGCTTCATCCAGAAAAGAATTCAAGGGTGAGCCAGAGGTGTTAGCAACTTTTATTGAAGCGACAGTGCATAGCAGCAGCGGAGGTACTACTCCTTGCGGAGCAGGCCTACCCTATAGGCAGTGTGCCCAGAGGAGCAGCTCAGAAGCAGTTCTGTAGTCACATTGATATCCACTTTTAATTATATGATAATTAAGGGGTGGATCATGCAGACATTTCTAGAAAAGGTGTGACAACTTCTGGGTCATTGGGTCGTTGTCATGGAAAGTGGTGGTAACTTCTGGGCGTTGCCATGGCAATGGCAAACTGACATGGCACCCTCGTCAGTGTGTCTTATGGGAAAGTGTTTTTGCCCCATCCCTGTTTTAGTTAATCATCAATTAGGTCTGGTGTCCAAGCCTCACCTCCAGAATCCAGTACTGCCTCCTACCTCAGTAGAATTGGTTCATTGTGTGTCAACATGAACATTCCTCTGTTTTAACAAGGGAATAAGCTTCATGAACTTCAGCTTCAGGGGATTTTTAAAAAATCCAATTTGAGAAAATTTATTCCTGGAATTTTCCCAACGGATCATCATTTACTGTTTGCTAAGACCGTAAGTAGAGAGAACTAGTTGGTTTATAAAGCAGCCTCTTTCATTATCCAATCACTGTGGTTCTTCATAAAAAGTTTTCACATAATGATATTTGTATCTTTTAAAATTCATCTGTGATCCGGAGTTCTGTTCTGGAACAACATGTAGTAACTCTTCTTCCTCTTCTACATGCTACACTTTAACTTCACGTGTTTTAAAATTGTTTTCATGCATCATCTTAGTTTTTATTCCCCAGGTTAGACACTAGTTTATTTGTTCAATAATTTTCACCTTATTAAGTGCTGAGTATTGAGCTAACATTGAATATATACTAGCCAACAAAAACAGACAGTGGTCTCAGCTCTCTTGCTAATACTTTATATTTTCTTTTAACTGTCGTGATTGCAATTTAGTTTATAGTCTTTCATTATTCCTATTAATTTTGATTCAATTCAATAATTTTTGGATTATAAATATGTACAAGCAATGACAGCAGGTGATATCGAAGGGTAGAAACAAACAGCAGCCTCTGCCCTTAAGAAACCTAAACTTTGTTTGGGAAACAAGACATGTGCAAAAATAAGATTTATTCTGGAATGTGTTCTGGGTACTCTTGAGTGAATAGAAAAATAAAAACTAGCTCTCCCTAAGGAGAGATTAGGGAAAGCTTCTTCAAAAATATAGGTGCTCTGCCTTTGAATATAGGTAGGAAATAGCTAGAATGAGCATTTCCATAGATGTGGCATCATGAGCAAAGTCACTGAGGCAGTGATTCATGGTTTGCTAGATAATCTGGGATTCAGAAGTGAAAACCAGAAAGATTCACTGGGAATAGAAAAGAAGAAATGTGAATTTCGATAAATTGGTATGTTTAGTTTTTAAAATGATGCATTATAGTCATTCATTCAACAAATATTTACGTAGTGCCTAACATATATCAGGTACTCTGTTAGATACCAAATGGATTTAACATTCTTCTTAAATTATAATGCTGTAATATTTCAAATGTTGCCCCAGCAGGTGAAATTACCTATTTTTTCATGTTTGAAGAATAATACTTCCCTTTCCATTATTTTGAGCAGGATTTTCTTCCTTTTTCTTTTCTTTTCTTTTTTTAATCGATATGGTCACACTTTTGTCTAAGATAAGTCCAAAGCCTTTTTTGTAACTCTTGAGGTCATATTATTTCAAAATTCAGGATTTTTCTGATTTTAGGAATATGATATAGTCTATGTATCAAATATTATGTAAAGCATCATTTCCTAACCATATTATTCAGACATTTTTCTATTATATTTTAATATATATGAATTATAAAATTCATTGCTTCCAAATGAATTTTGGTGACAAATGTGGGATAAAATTTTCAGCTTTGAAAGATTCTGAATCTCAGAGGTATCAATAAAATATAGTTGACGTTTATTATGTGAGGTTAATTAAAACCCCACTTTTTCTACTCTACATCTATGCTATTTATGCCTTTTGAAAAATTTGTTTTTACTTAAGTACAGGACTTCAGGCTTAGTAAACATCAGTTGTTGATTCAATTAATTGATTTGTTTTTTATCAGATACATATTATGATTCTATGTGTGCCTGATGCAGTCTGAGTTAATCTTTTATCGTCATACCTATTCATTTTAGCTTTAGTGCTTCTGATGTTTTCTTACCTGCAAATTTTTATTTCAAGCCAATGTTGAAACCTCAGTGTGGCATCCCATGAGAGCCCTTCCTCACAGATGGATGCTGCACAGTTAAGTGACATTACTATGTTAAAGCCAGGAACCTACCCAACAGTACAAATTCAGTTTACTACATGATTTTACAAGGATATTTAATAAATTTTGTTAAATTCCTTGCTGAATTTAAGGTATAAGTGTATCTATCTATTCACCCATCCAACCAAACCCAACCACACATTCTTCACTCAAGAAAATCAGGTAAGCTTGGCATGATTTGCTGTTTTGCCTTTATGTTTCTTGCTAGTTTTTCTTTATAATATTTATTATTTTGTTTTAGACTGAGGTTTTATGTCACGTCTGTAGTTATCAGCATATGACCTTTACCTTTTAGACAACTTGAGAAATATTTGCCCCCACCCCCACAACATTTTTATTCCCCAGCTTTCCATTTTCAACGTTTCACAAAAAATTATTAAGAATATCCGAATGTGTCCAGGTGTGGTGGCTCACACCTGTAATCCCAGTACTTTGGGAGGCCAAGGCAGGTGGATCACTTGAGGCCAGGAGTTGGAGACTAGCCTGGCCAACATGGTGAAACCCTGTCTCTACCAAAAAATATAAAAATTAGCCAGGCGTGGTGGGGCACACCTGTAGTCCCAGCTACTCAGGAGGCTGAGGTAGAAGAATCACTTGAACCCAGGAGGTGAAGGTTGCAGTAGTGAGCTGAGATTGCACCACTGCGCTCCAGCCTGGGCAACAGAGGGACACCCTGTCTCAAAAAAAAAAAAAAAAAAAAATCTGATTTTATGTCAACTCTACATCATCAACCAGGTCTTCTTTATTTTATAAAATTAACTCCCATTTAAATTCCCTATCCCACACACATATAAACCTTAACCTACATCTTTCCAGAGATTAGATCATAAAAATACGCAGCAAGAATTATTCCACTACTTTAGTGAAATAGCTTTCTGTACATTATTAGGATAATTGAAGGGCCCAACATTTTTTAAGTTTACAGGATGTATTAAGAAATCGTACTGTTTTGATTTCACTGTCTCTAAAATGCTATCATACCTCCCTTCCTTCCCACCTCCCTTTTTCCCTCCCTCCTTTCCTTCCTTCCTTCCTTCTTTTTTCTCTGTTTCTTCTTAAATACATTTATTTCCACTATGCTTTCACTTTGTTTTGACAGTTTCTTATACTAGTTTATACATTTTTATGTTAATTTTCAGCTGGCTTCTTGTGAACAAATGAAGTCTTTAGTTGTCCTATTCTTATAGTCACCAGCACAGTAAATATCTTTATTGACAAAGGAACTGTTTGACTCTGTGATACTTATGCCAAAAAGAATCTGCAGCAATCATAGGGCACTTAATCATGATAAATATTTCAGTGAATTTTAAGTCTCTAAAATAATGCAAACATAAAAATAGTATCCAAAAGGTAATATTTAATTATTTGTTTAAGTAAAATTATTTTTGCATGGGGCAGTGATGTAATCTGTATTGAGACTCTAATATCCTACAAATTTTATTTCTATTTTGTAGAAAGAGCACATAATATTTCTTAAATTTCGGTTCTTTTTTGCTTTAGAGTTATCTTTCATTTGGGAACTAACAGTAATTTACCTATTCAGAAAATAATGACCCAGAGGCAGGAAGAGTATCAGGAATTCAGAGTATATTTGGCACAGCTAATTTTGATGCATGATATTAAAATAGGATGATCTGCTTTGGTAATGCTTTATGCATGAGAAGACATCCATAGCTCACCATTACCTTCTACTTACTGTGGTTAGTTGGTAAAAAATTAAAGTTATTAAACCTTATGGTTTTTACCAATTTAGTTTATATAGATGTGGTTTATCTCAGGGAAT